TGAGCAGCCCCTCTTAACAGCTTTGGGAACCAAGAGAACTAAAACCATTGGGCACTAATTACTAGATCAAGCACTATCAGCTCACACCACGCACTGGCCTCAATTCTCTAAGCAACTTGCACAGGATCCAAATTTGTCGCATCTTCAAACTAGATTGAATTTAAATCCCTGAATCCTACTCCTCCTCACCCTAACTGCAGGGACTTTTGCATCTGGGAATGCAGAGAGCACCCGTAAGCAGAATAAACAAGAACAGCAAAGGAATGGAACAGTTTCCTCCTATTTTTTGAAAGCATTGTGCCTATCTGTGCCCCTCAACGCTGCATTGATGCGGTGCTGCCCTAGATTATATAGGATGCTGTTGTCCTGGCCTTAACTTTGCACATCACGAGATGTGCAGATACATTTGTCCAGCATTAAACCTGAACGCTCAGGCCTTTTATAAATGTTCTGAGCAAAGTACATGTCGTGGGAGGAGGATTACAGCTCCACTCCGAGCCCTTGTGGTTATGAGGTCAACATAATGTATCTATTAATTCACAGTCTTTTTTTCCCCTTGGAGTAGGAGCTATTAATATGCTACATATATTTACTTCTGCAAATTGTGCTTTAATCAATACAGTACCCCAGGCAATGTGAAGTACCGCAGGCAACACAAAGACTGTCAGAACCATAGATGTCGGGTCTGCAGAGGGGGGCTTAGCTCCTTGCCACGTCACAGAGGCACTCAGAAGATTATGGAAAAGCCACACGCAGCAGAGGGAAAGACCTGAAGATGGTCTATGCTTGAAATGCTCAAGTAACACAAGAGCACTGGGAAAAGGGGGGTGATTTGGGGAATTAACTTATATCAGCATAACTCCTAACGCGGTTGCTGCTTCAGCAGAACTGCTCCAAGGAGGAGAAAGCTCCAGCAGGAACCCCAAGCTCCCTAAGGGGAAGGGGAGCTACAGGTCACTGCTCCGCATGGCCCTGCACGTTTCCGACGCCAGCAAACCCACAGGGCAACATCCTTGGAGGACGGATGTCCCAAGGACACAGGGAAACTGTCTCCAGACCCAAGGATGCTGACAACTTCCTTGGGCCGTGGAGAGGCTCTGCTCAAGGGAAATGCCTCTGGAGCCAGGTTTCAAGTTTTCCAGGGAAAACCACCACGTGCCACTGATAACTTCTGGCCTTTAGAGATGCCATAAGCTGGTGTGCTTAAAAACCTCATCCTGCAGCCTCATCCTGCCAAGTGCTTTGCATGACCTCACCTATGATCCCAAGTCTTCTCCTCTACAAAGTTCCATGCACAAAACAAGAAGACCTTTCAGACTGAAGGGGTGAGAAAAGCCCCTTCTCACCCACGCCACTTTCAAAACTCACCACTCATACACCCACACGGAAGGTTACCCCTTCACAGCAGCATATACGTTAGGCCCAAAGATCAGACGCCACTTTCACACTCACACCAACCTTGTTCCCCAAGCAGTTTTTGCAGGAAAGATACTACAAATGCAGAGAGGCAGTTCAAATAGAGGTCCTAGTCCTGAAAAACCCCATCCTCCTCCCGTTGCCAACACGGCTTCTCCCTTTGCATTTCACAAGGCTCCTTAGAGCAGCGCACAGCGCACTAGAAAACAAGGTTTTAGCCTGAGCTGCCATCTGCATGTCCAAACATTCCCTGGTTTACCAGAGAAACTGCTCTGACAGACCCCCCCAACCAGTCCTCTTCCAGGGACCACTCTAAGACGGGCTGTAGTTGCACCAGTGTCACCTGTGCCGAGTTTATTGCTGCTCACACATGTCCCCATCTCTGTGATATTCACCCACTAACACCTGCACCGTTTGCAGCAACCCTTGCCCACATCCACTCCTACACAGCTACAGCTACAAAAGCAGCACCAGGAGGACTCAATTCTGCTCGCAACGTGCTTAAAATTTTACTCCTTGATCTCATTCATGGCCACATGGTTCTCTAACTAATACATAATGCTCAAAGTAGACAGAATTAGCAGAAAAAGATGCCATACCAGCTGTTACGCTTCTTAGAAAACGCACTTTCACCGATTCCGGAGAAGAAAACCACTCCAGAGCACTTTGCTCAGCCATTAGCAAACGGCGAGTTGTCTTTTGTCTCATAGTACATCAGAGAAATAAAAACATTCCCAACTAAGGGCTTTTTTCCCTTCCATAACCACAGCCTAGCTTTCCCTATACATATTTCGCCAGGTCTCTCTAGGTGGAGGAAGAGTTTAGCTAAGCAAGTAAACAGAGCCCCAGAATTCCAGTATCATGAGAAACTGCCTACAGAACAACATTACTTTTAGGTATTTTGTGGAAATCTTGCAAGCAATGTAGTTTTGTACTGAATTGGGCCAAAAAACAAGTTAACATCAAGTTAATTAATCATGTTAACGTATGTTACACCCTGGATTTGCTCTCTCAAATAGGCACCCCTGTTAATTTTGTTGATATACGGAGCAATGGGAAAGACGGGGAGGGAACTTTCTTGCAGTGCTGCTTTTGGGGGACAAGGAGGACGGAAAGGAGAGGATTAGCAGAATAACCTGCACAAGTTTCTGGGCTGCAGCCTCCCTCCGACTCAGCTATCACTGAACACAGCACAACTCTCAGCCCTCTCGCCATTCCCTTCCATCTATCAATGCTTACTCCTCTAGAACAAGCTCCAGATGCTTAGAGAGATACTGAAGGAAACCCTGACCAAAGCTGGCAGCAAAGTTTCCATCATTTTCCGCAAGGACAAGATCTTTTCCCTCTGTATTCTTTCAAGGCACTTTAAAGGCAGATTTATTTTTAGTTGGGCATCCTGAAAGGCAAATGGTCTCTTAAAGCATCTCCTTGCATTGTGTGAGTTTAAACGTTTACTTCCCCTTTCAGCACTAAAGAGGCGCTGATAAATAGCTCAGAATCACGTTGTTGGAGGCGGCTGCATACACCGTTTCACAGAGCTCTTACAGGCTATTTAATAGTTGTTCATGATTTAACATCCCCTGATATTTTCAACTTCAGCCTCAGTTTGAAAGGAGAGATTACTCAGAGACCAGACGTATTCAGGAGCAGGAAGAGCCTCCACATTATAAATGCTTTATTTGTGCTGCTTATAATAAGCACAGATCCCGAGCCCTGTTTCCCAGAGCCCTGGCTGCTCCATGCAGACGCTCCTTCCAACTTCTCCTCCAGCCCCACAGGGGCATCTCAGCCCAGGACACACAAAACGCTGACCAGACGACAGCCCCTCTCTCCAATTCCACGCAGAAGACACTGCTCCCTGCAGCTTTCACAGCAGAACTAAAACCCTTCGACCCCCAACACACAGCTTGGTACAGGCAGGGAACAAGTCATTCCATCCATGCAAACCAACCAAGCTCTTCCAGACCCACGGCAGCAAGGCCGCTCGCTGAGGGCAGTGGGTCCCGTTTCCTCCCCATTCTCCCCGGGAGCTCACCCGCATCTCCGTCCCGCTCCGTGCACACGCTGCCCACGCCGGCCGTTGTTCCAGACCCTCCCAGCCCATCACACAGGGCTCCAGCAACCGTGCAGCACCCCCCAAAACTCGGGTGTTGATGCGGCACACGGGGTCTTCCCTCTCACATCTTGTGCAAACAGACTCCCCCCCCATTTCACTGCTAAAGCATCAATCACCAAACAAACTGTTCTTCTGAGCAAACCTCTTAGGAACTTGGAGATACTGCGGGAGTAAAAAGGGAAAGAAGTCTGCAGAGCACTCCTGAGCCCCACTAAAAAATAATGAGATAAATAAACAACTTTTTCTCCTTGTTGTGCCACTCCCAGCCCTGGCAGAGGGCTCGAGCACAGGGAGGTCTCGTTACCTGCCGTCTTGTTACCTGCCAGCTAACGACATTGTGCTCTCCCCCCTGGCACCCCTGTGGGCAGGCCAGAAAGGGCTGCAGGTCTGTGGAGGTGCTAACACACCTGCAGCCCAATACTCCGAAATTAAACACGTTTTCCCATGCGTGCAGTGACCAGCCGGAAAGGTCCCTCTGCACGGGTGTTGGTCCCCCTTCGCTCACTTGCAACCAGAGCGGGCAAGGTCTGAGCTGCTCCGCGCACTCGGCGGGGAGCCCGGAGCGTCCCGGCGTTCCCACGGCACAGGCTCTCCCACGCACAATGCTGCAAGTTCAGAGGGACACAAACCCTCCTGGTTCCTTGGGGAGCCACCCTAGGCATCACTGACTGCAACCCGCATGGAGCCACCAGCTCACAGAGCGCCCAGGAGCACCGTCTATGCCTGGGGAACCCACTGAAGCCTTCGCTCCTCACGTCCCCTGTGCGCGTTACAGCCGGGGGCTCTCGGAGCCCCAGGCTCTCCCTGCATCTCCCTTCACCTGCGTTCCTAGGTGCAAAGCACAGACCTGACTCGCTGTCAGGGCGCCGCGCTCCCGGATCCACCTCCCGCCTCAGGTCGGGCATCGGGAAGGCTTCCCGGCGCCAGGATCCGCTGGGAAGCGCGGCTCCCCCCGCAGGGACGCGCTCCCCGCGCCGGAGCCGCTGCAGGCTGCGCTGCCAGGCGCTCCAACGGGAAGCAAAGTCGCCGCCAAAGTTCCCGGCGGCCGGAGCGGGGTCCGCGCGCCCCGGCCCGGCCCGGCCCAGCCCAGCGGGCTCCCCGCGCGGCCGGCCGGGCTCGCGGGCTCTGCTCCCAACGTCGCTCCGGGAAGCCCCGCAACGATCCACGCGCTGGCGGCCGCATCCCGGCGCACAGCCCCACCACACACACGCGCTAAAAATACAGTTTTTAAAATAACTAGGGAAAAAAAAAAGAGTATAGACACTGCAAAGCAGCAGAGAGGGAATGCCGGTTCCCACTAGGATGGACTTTCCCCCCATATCTATCTCCATTTTGTTCATGCATTACAAATTTAAGGATTAATCCAGCAGGAGCACAGGAGGCTGCCCCAAGCAGAGCTTACAGCAACTTTGGAAAACGCCCATTTCCAGCATTTGGGAGAAGAAACTCCAGACTTTTTGCATCTTACCAGAGACATCGGCCGAGCGACAGGCTCTTCCGCAGGAGCCGGGCTCCTGTTAGGAGCCTAACGCGGTGCCGGCGGGAGCTGCGGGCTCTCTCACAGGTTTAGACGAGGCCGCACAAGAGTTACTGCCCCGAATCCCCGGGCACCGACGGCGGTTCCGAGCAGCCCGAGTTGCCAGAGGCCACCGGAGATAAATCGGGTGCCCAGG